CGCATACACACACAAAAAATTATTTTCTTTCTAAGTATACCCTAATATTCCAAGATTAAGCTTTCTCCTTAATTATTTTCATTTTAATTAGTAAATCTTAATTAACAATGAACATTTACCCTTAAAATTTTTGGCGTGAGAACGAAGGGTGGTGGGGGGGGGGGGGCAGCTAGTGAATAAATATGACAATCTTTTTGAGTCCTGAAGGCAGGATTACCGATGCAGGCAGGCTTAGTTATTAAACACGTTCTAAATTAAATGCCTCCATGAATTTTGTACAGAAATATATTTTCATAGTTTTGCATGCCAAATGTGACATTTTATATTTGAAATTCATCTGCCACTGTAATTTTGGAAATGTCATATAAACAAAGATTTTGTCATTTACCAATGAATTTACTATGTGTGGCAGGTCGGCCATTGCTTTTCTGGCTGTGCGGGTTGTTTCAAGTCAGCAAGCCATAAAATTTCTTTATCTCTCTGAAACACAGCAATTTGAGTGATAATGGAACAGTGACTGGGGGGCACGGATGCCAGGCTGAGGAATTATACTACAATCTCACTGCGTTTACTGCCTCCCTCAAAGCTGATGCTCTGTTTGCAAACCAAGGCTGCTGCCGCTACTGTTGAGGCCCTCTTACAGAGGTCATTACAATGCAAAACCTCGCAACAACATCTCACACGCAACTGAACAAGCTGCATTGGCTACTGTCCTCTTCCTTTAGTTTTGGTCAAGTCAGAAACTTTAGGTGTGGCTTCCTCTTCTCATACCCTTTAATTCCTTGCTTATTCTCATGAAACGTGTAATGTGTGTCCCCATGACTGATTTCATTAACCTAATCACGATATTTGATTCAGCTCTATTTAGTCTAAAATGCAAAACAACATTTAAGACATTGATTTTATTTCTACCTTTTATTCTTTCTTTATAATATCAGCCAATCTGCATGTTCCTATTCATCATCATTACATTTTAAAGGGTTCAAACAGAATCAAATTCTACCTAAATTTGAAATGAAAATACCAGGGCTTCACTAAAATGCAGAATTTGTACTTGCAGTTCAACCTTTTT